ATTCCGATTGGCCTTTTATCAAAATTTGAATGGGCTCAGTTCAAGGGCCTGAATTTGAAACCGTGTTAAATTCGGGCCAATTCGAGTTAAAAGAATTGGGGGAAAAGAAAATAAATGAATTGGATACGGTCTGAAGGAGAAGATGATTGATATTATATAGTAAAGATAAATGCTCATAAAGGAGATGTGTAAATAGTAATAAAATACCCTACAAAGTATGTTGCATATGTTGACGAAAACCATTAAAATGAACTCCCAAACAAAAGAAAAAGGTGGTGAGGGTACTGGGTACATCTTAGGTAAGGTCACCATCAAGCCCAACCTTTAGAATGCCACAGGAGAGGCTCTCTCTTTTCATCCCTCGGCCCTCGGGTTTAGTTGGTTTGGGTTTGAGTTGAGGCCCAAACAATCCGATCCATCCATTCCCAGCAGATTATTATCATTTGCAGACTACCTATATAGAGAGAGAAAATTCCTTTTATCAAATCCACGTACAAGGTTTATTTTTAATTCAGAGTACCTGGACATTTCTGAAGTCAGATTGGCATCTACTTTTACTTTGCATTGAAAAAAGTCGTATCTGACTCCAATCCGATGGTGAAAAGTCGATCGAGCAACGAATTTTGAACAACACAAAAATGTACCGATTGGAAAGCTAGTGCAACAAACTATGCAGGTCCTTAATGGTGCGAACTCTAGCTTCGCACTTCACAGTGAGAAAACGTAAATCGTCCAAGTATCAGGAAGGAGAGAGAGAGAGAGAGAGAGAGAGAGAGAGAGAGAGAGAGGGAGAGTTAAATTTATGCATCAACAAGTATTAAGATATTTATACACCGGATACCCCCTTTTTTTAATTTTATAAAATTTGGAAAATCCTGCTAACTATTTTAAGAAACTCGTGTGTTTGAATGCACGATAGGAATCAGTATTTCAGAACCACCATTGCCCCTGACAGTCAGACCGTTTGTTTTGGAATCCGTTTAACTTGGTCATTGGTTAAAAACCGTTGATTTAGTTAGTAACTTGCTGACCTGGGCAATCAAATTATCTATTTGAAGTAAAGAGTCAAGCCATTGACCCGAAAATCAATAGTCAAAAAGGTTCGATTCCAATTCAGTTTTTAAAACCTTGATACAAATATCATACACTTAATCCAAATGATATTTTAATTCTTCGTTAACATGAGAAGTGAAAAACTGTTTACCCTACATGCAACAAACTTTGCCGGCCTTTATAAGACAAGACAGGAGAAAAAAGCAACCGGGGAGTGTTTCTGCAACTGAATTATAAAGCTTAATTAATGCAGAAAGTCGAGATTTTAGGGTTTGAAAATTGAAGACATTCGTGGACTGTGGAGGAACTTATCTTTTACATTTCCAGGACCAAGAATTTATCTTTATCACCTTTAAAGTGTAGAGGATTGCAGTATGGACTGTGGAGTGGCAATAGATTACTTTAACTCTTTAGGCTTAGCTTAGAAAGAGCATAAATACAAATATGCCGAGTGCAAAATCTTATATATTATATATTTTATATGCATTTTTATTATACACATTTGTATTTATAATCTTTTTCAAACTGCATGAACCTTAAGGACAACCAAACAGCTCTTCTTTCCAAAAGATCAAGTGCTTATGAATTGTGATGGTGAGCCACAACCCTGTTTTAAAAGGCTAAAGGCGTAGTTGAGGCGTAATGGCCCAAAAAAGATGAGGCGTAAACCTCAAAGTCTAAGGAAAAATTAATTAAAGTTAGTAAATCAATGAAATTATATATTATATACCAAATTAAAATGATAGAAATACATATCCATAAATTAAAAGTTTATAAGCAATAAGTTTTTTGATCAACTAATTTAAGCATTAAATAAAATAATAATAATAATAATTATTATTATTAAAAAGAGAAAAGATCCATTAGGAGAAAAAGTGAGAAAAATAACAAACTTGGGACATTATATTTAGAATAACAAGAAAAATCTCACTTGATTTATCCAAAAAAAACTAAAAACTTGATTAGTCCTTTGTGCATTGAACCCTCTTAAAACATTAAGAAAAGCTAATAGAATTTGATTTGCCTTATTGGTTTTTCATTTTTACTTTTTTATTTGGCCCATAATTATTGAAGTGTTTTTTCTATATATTTTAAATTCTACAAATACATATTTTTAACATTAAATCACTAATTAATCATTAATATTTGAGGTTTATGCCTTTTTACGCCTAAGGCCACGATGCCTCATGCCTGGAAGCTTGAGGGCTAAAGCTTATGCCTTATTCTAACAAAGGCTTAAGCCTCGAATCAAAGTTGTGAGACGTAAACCTCGCCTCAATACGCCTCACACCTCAAAGCTTAAGCCTTTTAAAATAATGCCCATAACCATGATTGATACTTAATACCCACATGTAGGATAGATATTAAAATACATGTAAGTTAAAGCAAATCCATTTGGTCATTTCCACCTCTAATATGTCTCATGTCTTGTATTAATTACATAGCTACAAAGTGATGTCTGATGTTATTGCTTCCTTCCTAATTCCTACTCATTTAATGCCTTCCTAAACTCTAATGATTACATTACATTACAGGTTAGATTAAAACTTATGAGTTTTCATCAAAATTTACAGGAATTGTGATTGGTCAAAGCTTTCTAATATCATTTCTTTCGGGTATCATAAATTTTCCTTTACATTATATGGTTTTGCATCATTTTCCAGAATTTTTATGGACTTTCTATTTATTGAATAATCTTTTGCACTTTGGCGTGTTTAGCAGGCTTGGTTTTATTAGTTAAACAACCATAACCAATTAACCATTACAACAACCAGGACTGTCTTCATGGACACCAATCCAAAGTTCAAAACCGCTCGTCTACTTAGTCCTAGATTAATGGAATGCCACACCTTAATTTAATTCTTCATCCGACTCACAACATCATCCCCACACCTCAAATATATTATTTCAAATCCGTTTATGCTATCTACCCATGAAGCCCCAAAGTAGGCCTCCTCCCCGTTCTGCTTTTCTGGAATCGGGTTCGGTCACTTCCTGGAACAGAGCGGCTGAGCCTAATCCATCTTTGGATTCCCCTCCCTCTTTATTCGTAGTTGCAGTGGTCTTCAAGCAAAAAAGGACAGTAAAAGATTATCTCTTTGCCACCTGGCAAATTTCATCAATTCATATGAACACGTAATAATCTTTTTGGGTAAGACTCTAATCTAAAAAACCGTCACGTGTTTTAATCCTCCCAGACGACCGTGCAGGAAAATTCAACCCGCCAAGCAACCTGGCCATAAAGTGTAAACCATAATAACGGTTTTAAGGACTATGTGAATGCCAAATTAAATTTGTGTTTGTATTAAGTGGGTTATGGTTGGAGGGGATGAAACAGAGGGAGTTTGGATCACCTACCAATAAAATACGTTTTAAATACATAGCGGGTTCCACTTTTAGTGGGTCTCAATCGTATTACGAGATAAACGGTACGATACAATGTTGGTGGAGGATTAGAACGTGTTTTATTGACAGGTGATCCCACTCGAGCAGGGTACCGAACCGGACTGAGTGGAGAAGGGGGGTAAACAACTTCAACAATAACACTCTCCACTCTCCAGTCACCAGTCAACTGACTAACTGGTAACTGGTAAGGTGTGCGTGCGTGTACAGGCTCACAGCTTTTTATTAACATTCCGTGTAGACTTGGGAGACGTGAGAATTCGGATCCAAGGGAGGGACTTTTGGGCCCGTCCGTTCATTTTGTAGGGTCTAAAACTAAACTACAAACTATATTAAATACAAGGGCATAGCTATAAAGAATATAACAAGTATTCAGTGAGAGGGACAGCTATCCTTTATTTACGCCTTATATTATTCAATTAATGAAATGCCCTTTTCCTATATAGAGTAGAATAGAGATGATCCTGTCACGCCTTCTAATTAAAATATATAAATATATATATATATATAAAGTTTGGATCATCTGGTGTGGACGGTTGCAGCGAACTGGAATGTGGTTGAACCGATACATCCATCCAAGCAATCCAAAATCTTCTTTCTTGTCCAGGAAGAATAACAGGTGCAAAGCACCCATTTAATTATAGTTGGACGCTATCCTGTCAAAGATCATCTGAAGATAATGTTAAGATTCAAATAAAAAGCCAAAAAAATTTGATGAAAATCATCTATATATTCTTTTTTGGTCTTAAACAGTTAAACTCTTCCTATAGTCCATGGATTCCTATTTTATTTGTAAACCAGATAATTATTAGTTATCATAGTGTAAAAACAATAAGAGATTTTAGGGGGAGGGAGAAAGTAAAAGATTCTCTGTAGGTTCTCAATAATGGCTTCTATATCTTTCAATATGGTTTTGGTTTTTTCAGGGTTTCTGACCTGGTCAAAGGCTGAGCTTGAGAATTTTCTTCCATTATTTATTTTTCACTTATATTTGTATTGGGTTGTTATTACAAGGATCTACATCCACTAAACAAATCCATCAATCACTTCAGAGTATATATATATATAATATATATATATATATATATATATATATATATAGTTGTTAAACTATCACAGAGGAACGGTTTCAGCTAGTTGGTGCATCTGTGTATGTGTAAGAGGAGTTTGAACAGTGAAGATGGTGGTCGTGTCAGTGATGGTGGCTCTCCGCCCTTCTTAATCTTTCAACAACCATGCACCTTCCCCTGCTGCTTTCTTACCCTTGTTTGTTTTTTTCCCTTTGACGTTTCTCTATATTCATGTTTTGTTTCGTTTATTTTCATTTTTTTTATTTTTTATTTTTTACCTTAACCACCGAGCAACACGTATTTCTTTCTTCTTTTCACACCAACGAAACTCTCTCTCTGTTACTTTGACCAGTTGCCATTTGCCATCCAACAGTAATCTCTCTCGGTGACGACCCCACCCAACAATCTGTAGAGGATTTTTTTTTTTTTTTTTTTTTAAGTGGAAACGTGAGTAGAAGCCGCCTCTCTTTTAAAAGAACCTCTCCTCCTTTCTCTCACCTCTCCTTTTCTTTTCTCAGAAAAACCCTAGATTGAACTCAGTCCATGTAAGCGAAACACAGGAGAAGGCAAGCTAGCTTTTTTCATCTCAAAACCCTTATCTTCCTGCTCAGTATTTCTCCTCTTCTCTAGTTTAAGATCGGCTGGGTTCTTTGCTTTTGTTTCTTTTTATACACCTACTGTTCAACTTGAAAGAGAGCAGGAGGAAAAGAAAGGGAAAGGTCTGTCTCCATTGCGGATCATCGCTTTAAAGACATGGGTACTTTCTAAAAGCTCTTCTAGAAGATCTCTCTCGATTTACTTCATGGGTTCTTTTGCAGGTTTCACTTAATTGGGATTGTAATTGATAAAAACCCCTGCAGCCTCTGCAACACACTCTTTCTCATTTACTCACTCAACCCTTCTTCCTGCCATTTTTCTTCTCTTCTCTTTATTGCTTTCTTAATTTTTTTACTCTCTTAAAACTCTCTAGAGCCATGGATTCTGGTAACAGTGGAAGTATGCAATCGTCAAGCGGTGGTGATGAGGAGTACGATTCACGGTCCGAGTCGATCTCCGCTATCTTCAACTCTTCCGGCCACGTTGGTCATGGTCATGTCATATCTAATCCACATCTCACTACTCCTCCTCACCATCTCAGTCTCCCCTCGTCATCCTCGTCTTTGTTTGATTCTGTATCGAATTATCTGGATGTCTTTTCTCGATCACCGGCAACTTCAAATGCAAATTCCTTAACACATCTTGACATGATGTGGCCTAGAAGCGTAAGATCTGAAGCCAATTGCACCGAGATCGGCAATATAATGGGTTTATCATCCTCGACCCAACCCATCTTCGGCGCTCAAGGGCCTAGTCGGGGCTCTCTGCCAAGTTCATCGTCGCAATTGCCAGCGGCCCCAGAGAACGGTGCACGGCCTTCAGCTCCACCGTCATCGTCATCGGATCAGGCCAACGTAGTTCGAAGCTCAAAGAAGAGGTCCAGAGCTTCTCGAAGAGCACCCACTACTGTACTGACCACCGACACAACGAATTTCCGTGCGATGGTGCAAGAATTCACAGGTATACCCGCACCCCCGTTCTCGGCCTCACCTTTCCCTAGAAGCCGACTCGATCTCTTTAACACTGCATCCACCTTGAGGTCCGCTCATTTGGAACCACCGCCGCCGTACCTTTTACGGCCTTTTGCTCAAAAGGTTCAGCCACCCTCATTTTTATCTTCAGCCGCTGGTGCTGCTGCTGTTTCTACTTCCTTCTCATCTTCCGGTTTGGTTAATACCGTTTCTTCTAGCACTAATATTGCTAGTACTACTACTTCCACTACCCCCACCACCGCCACCACCACCACCACCACCACTAATGGTTTCTCAAACTCACCTTCCACAAATAACTACCAACTGCTTTCTGATATAGGCCTTCCGAAACAATCTCAGAATCTACTAAACATGCAGCCGAACCCAATTCTCACGTTCCAGTCTATCTTGCAATCTTCTCCTCTTAATCAACCAAAGTACCCATCATTAGCCTATGTGCCCGTCTTCGGTGCGAAATCTCAACAAGGGTCTTTGACGACTTCGTCGACTGATTCACAACAACTTAAAATGGGCATGGTGCTGGAGGAGTTCGGCATGAATCATGGACATGTAAATCCACAACTCAGTGGGCTACCCAACTTTGTAACCTCGGATGGGATGTCACTAAGGAGCGACAATAATCATTCAGGCTGGGGAGATGGAGTAGGACTGAATGATGGGGATCATCAACCTAACTTGAAGTCTTTCAATGGGAATTACAGTAACACACAGAGGGTAAATAGCTGCAAGATAAACTACACCACGTCGTCGTCAGACTTCCAAGTGGAGAAGGGGCCGGAGAATGGTTCTTCTAGGGGTGAAGGTATGGTGGATTCATGGATTTGTTCTTCGGATTAGGACCTATGTAGGAGAGAGAGAGAGAGAGAGAGAGAGAGAAGTAGAAGAAGAAGAAGAAATAGAAATCAAGGAGAGGCAAATGATTCTCTCTCCGTGATAACCACCACTGTCAACATTTACAACACTTAAAATTTTCCCAGGTTATATGTAAATATGGCCTCTTTGCTTCTTATAGTTCTCATTATACATCCATTAGTACACGACTATGGGAACTCTGATTTTCCATGTTGTTCTCCAGTTGAAGTTAGATTATATTGATTTCTTTTGTCTTCTCTTTTTGTCTTCGTTGGTATCCTTTGCTTAGACTTCTGGCTACTGATGATAAGGGAGAAGGAGAATATATGGCCATGAAAGTGATCAAATGGATAACTACCCATGTGAGATGTTATAATATCGAGCAAGTTCGATCTCATACTGTCTAATGGAAAACTGCTTGTAGCTTGATGCAACTTAAACGAAGAACCCGGGTTCTGTCTTGCTTTTTCTTTCTTATTTTCTCCTGCCGTTTCTGTCGTTCATATTTGTTATATTTTTCTTCTTATCTTCTTCTCTGTTTCAATAAATTTTGGATGAATGGTATATCGGAGACTTGGAGCAATTGGAGGCGAGATTCGAGGAATCCTTTGGGCCGCAGTCTTAAAACAAGATTAAGCTCCTGCATTCTTTATATGATTTAAGTTTTTCATCTGGTTCTTCTCCAGTTCGTTGGTATTTTAATTAAAATGTGTATAGAAGGGAAGTGTCGTACGTGTTTCTCATCAACTGGTCCAACCCCATATGAATTCTTTGTTTGTTAGTAAAGAATGCCTAACAATAATTAAATAAAGAACCAATCACCAAAAACAAAGCTCTCGCGTATTGTTATTTTCGATATTTTCTCATTCGCGAGCTCTTTTATACACAAGAATGTCAAAAAGAAGGATGAGTTTAAACCACACTAGTCTATTACAGATGAATGGTGTCGTAAGAGATTGAGCGAGCTCAGCTTTGTAATCGTCTTATTTGGGATCAATAGTTTAATTAAGTATTTTGAGCATAATCTGTTTTGGTTGTATTATTGACAGCCATAGCTCTTCTTCATCATACCCAGTAGTTCTAGACTTCTGGTGGGGTAACCTAAGATTTTATTGATCATCAGACTACTGTATTGGAGGTTGTGGAACTTGTCTGAGAGAAAGAGATTCTTAAAAAAAGGGAGATGATTAGCTATGAGATATTGAGTGATTGAGAAAGAGAAGAAAAAAGCTTATTTTCAAATCTTATCTGAATGATTTTTCTGAAGGTTCGATATGATTAACCATGGCATTTTGAGATATTATTATTATTATGAGAAAAAACTTTTTCTCTGCTTGTGTCTCTTTATTTCAAAAATTAAGAAAAAAATTAACTTATGCTGCAAAGGGAGAGATGACTAGCCATGGGATTTTGAGAGATGGAGGGCCTTTTTATAGGAGGTGTTGTGACATGTGACACTCCCTTTTCGAATCATGGTGGCCCATGCCAGTGAATTATCTGGTTTTTAGCAATGATGACCTCTCTCTCTCTCTCTGGGTGATGTGAGGGAAACGTCCCTCACAGCCAACGCTCAAACTGAAAGGAAAGGTTGAACGATAAGGCTGGGAGATTGAGTCTCTCTCTCTCTCTAGTTTCAAGCCAAACCGAAAAAGATGGAGAGCTTTTCGTATTTTCGTATCCCACCAAAAAGCTGGCAACCATAACCTTCTCCCCTCATGAACCCCTAAAATATACATTGAAATGCCCCCACATTTAGCACTAGTAGTAGCAGTAGTTGACAAAATAAAGTTGGTATGGATGTGTAGGCCTGGTACATTAATATCTTGTCCTAAACTATGTTCCTATCATGGAATGACCCCTCAATAATATAACTTAATCCACTTTAAGAAGCAACCATACAATACATATGCAACCAATATTAATGTTTGTTGCTAAATTTTCAATATTTTTTACATGAAAACAGTTACAACGTACGACTCACATGAGTCCCTTCTCGTTTAGAGAAATAGATTAAAAAAGACTGGTTCAAAGTATAGACATATTTGGTATGCATTTTTTTTTTTTTTTGCATAATCTACCATTCAAAGGCCAAAGTTTCAATTTTTTGTCTAGAAATTCCCTGATGTAAATAATCACTTTAAAGTATTAATACATCCGATATGCATGAACTGCTCTATTGGCCGTTTAGTTTTATGTTTGCCTATCCTTTGAAATTGATCAAAATCCAAAATCCAAAATCTAAAATACTCTTATTTGAGATTTTAGGGACGTATTGATATTATATTGTTGTTGCTTGGAATGGGCTAAGGGCAACAATGTCAAATCACTTCCGAGATGAGGGATGGCTGATAAGTTCGAAGACTCTTAGAATCGAGGACCTATAAGTCCAACTTGTGAAAGAAGAAATACATCAGAGACCCCAGGTGTTACCCTAGGGGTAGAGATTCTGACGATCAAGTTAGCAAGGGTGCAATAAGTAAGGTATTATGAGGTCTGAGATGTCAAGATAGTTTACCTCGAGAGTGATGCCACTTATATATACTTGAACCTGCCTGCAGTTAGTTACAAGCAGACAGCTAAGATGCAATCTATCCTGTACTATGCGTTACCATCTGAGAATGCCACGTGTCCATGCATTATTAGGCTTGCCATGTGCACCTACATCACATATGATATACCTGTCACCTGATATGGGGTATGAGGTTTAAACTTTTGATCCTTGCCCTCAACTCTTTATATTTAGTATTTTGGTGAATTCAAAAACAATAATATATAATACAATACATTGCAAGATTTTGAACCATAATCTCAGTTGCTATATGGCCCTTGGCCCCATTAGAAAGTATCCTACCCACCATGGAGATCAAGTACTAAACAAAAGCAAAGATAAAATACCTCATATTCATCTGGAATTTAAGGTCCATTTAATTTACAATTAGAATTAGAATTGGAATGATCTATTCTTATAGTCTGTTTGGTTTAGATAAGTATGAAGATTGAAATCAGATAAAGGAAATTGTCATTCCCTCAAAAGAGGAAATATCATTTCATAAAAAATGATAATGAAACTTCAATTCCACCTAACCAAACAGTTGAAATCAGAATGACGCATTCCAATTCCAATTCCAAACCTCCTATAACCATGAACCAAAAGGGACCTTAGTTATATGACTAGCTTGTTCAATATAATGGTTTAATTGCATGTATGATGGTAACGTGGCAGCTTAATAAAGCATCTCAAGATCACTATGATGCGCGCGGGAACCGCCATTGATAGTACAATATTGTTCGAAGCCTTGAGATTCTTTAACGATTCCTTTCTTTTTTCTTTCTTTTCTGTTGCAGAGATTCTTCTTTTCTTTAACAATATTGCTCTAATTTTCAAACAAATAAGTTAAATCCTGACGATTAATTTTGTATTTGATTCTCTTGTTCAACAAAATAAAATTATTTTCCTCACACACCCTATATTTCTTTCTGAAATAAATTGGTTACTTATTATTAACGCTAAACGTAAGCTATGATGGAAAAGGAAGTCTAGATGACGCAAACGGGTCTATTATGGCTTAGACCCATCATGTCTGTGACTTGGACTCATGACTTTGACTTTGATAAATGATCTATTGCCAAGAAAATGGAGAAATTAGACTGGAAAATTTTAACATAATTTGACGACAAGAAAGAATTTACATCAGCTGCTAATTATAATTGTGTCATCCATTATCATACAGTGGAACAAATACAAGAAAAATAAAAATATACTATGAAAATGACAATAAACCCGAGTAAACTAAGTTCACACTTGAATAATTGTTCTATCCAGTGTTTTCAAATTGTGGATGACTCGGTTGGTCGAACCGTCATTCAGCCAAGATTTTGGATCCGGTTCAGTTAAAATTTGCCAGACAGTAAAAATCTATTGATTTGGTTAAGAATTGTTTGACTTGGCCAGTTTGATCGTTGATTGGATCGTGAGTTGTATATTCAATGCATACAAATTTTCGGAGGCCATAAGTATGCATTCCGATGTCCAATTGGTGTGATTCTTTCTTTTTTGATTTTGGATAACTTTTCAAGATCTATGTGTCCCAAGGTATTGTAACCCTGCTACTTTTGTGAAAAAATTTTTTTTTGGCCTCACATCGCAATTTTTAATATTTTTTATAAATAAAAAATTGAAAACTGAATTAAAAAATATAAATGAAATATAAAATAATACATATAACATATCTAAAACATAACATATACACACACACTTAATTAATATATATGTACATACATACATACATACATATATATATATATATAGATAGATATGTTGATGTGGCACGGTCTGAACCGTTTAACCCAATCGATCTAACTAGTGACTCATGACCCAAAGGCAAAAATGATTCGGCCTCGAGATCGGGTTTTTTGGTTCTATCTACCCCTCTACACAAGTCAAGTCAAAGGTACATTAAAAAAAGTCCCAATACTGTTTAGACCCATAAATTGAAAATATATCAATTCCATAATGCAGGTTCAAGGCCATAACCCACCACTGACCACTAAAAAATAAAAATTTTGCCTACGGTTTTTTTTTCTCCACTAATATATAAGTTATTACATATAACGGACCACAATAAAGTGATAAACAATTCAAGGCACAATAACTCAAGACAATAGGCCGTTTTTTGTGGGTTAAACCATCAATGTATTGAGGTCGAACCTGAGAGACTCATTGTTGAAGCACATGCTATGGATATGAACACTAGATAGAGCAAAGGCCCAAACATCCAAACGCTAGAAATCAACAGCACCAGGTATTGCAAAGGGTTGTTTTTATATGTATAGAGATAATATTGTTGGGACACCACAAGATAATTAACAAATCAACATTGAGTCATTGGATGAAAGACGAGCAACTCCTTTAGTTATGTCTTTATTCATGTCTCTATCCTAGTGTCGTTAGGTAGCCCGTCATTGGAGGCTACTCTCAAACCACAGATTTATGCAAAGTGTTGTGTGTGTATTAAAGTAGTAGGTCAAATTAAACGGGAACCCCTAGCTAGTCTCTTCTCGACGTACACCCACCTAGCTTCGATTTCTGCCTTTTTAGGGGATAATCCCCCAACCCACATCTATCTTAACTTTCAAATTTCCAACCCTAGAAATTTTGCCTTTAGCACCGTTAGATTGGTAGATAAAACTAAACCAAATGTTCGTTACACCTAATGCCAAAGTAAGATATTTGATTTAGGTGATGTTTGGTAAAATTGAATTTTGTTGTCAAAAAGGCAAAAATATATAAAAAAAGGATTTGAGTGTGACTCTATGCTCTTGAATGGCCAAAGTTTTTTTTTTTTGAATATCTCAATATAATAATAATATCCGAAAAGAGATTACTTTAGATGTATGAGTCTCTTTTTTTGAGAGAAGTATATGAAGAAAAAGAAGAAAAACAAAAAGAAAATGGTTTACCAGCCATCAC